ATCACAACAATACCCACTAGGGCATTAACAATAAATTTTTGGGGTAGTAGCAAAAGTCGAATGTATGCACTAAGGGACAAAGAAGGCAAAATAACTACCAATATGGATAGGATAGTTAAAATAGCGGAGGAGTTTTACAGAGATCTGTACAGTAGCCGAGACAACCAAGACCTTAATACTATAAGAACTAGCAGTAACCCAGATGACACCCCAACAGTAATGATAGAAGAAGTCAGAAAAGCTTTGGAGAGCATGCAAAGAGGCAAAGCTGCTGGTGAGGATCAGGTAACATCAGATCTGCTGAAAGATGGAGGACAGACTGTGTTAGAAAAACTAGCCACCCTGTTTACGAGGTGTCTCCTGACGGGAAGGGTACCAGAGTCTTGGAAGAACGCTAACATCGTCTTAATACATAAGAAAGGAGATGACAAGGACTTGAAGAATTACAGGCCGATCAGCTTGCTCTCTGTAGTATACAAGCTATTTACAAAGGTAATTGCTAACAGAGTAAAGAAAACATTAGAATTCAATCAGCCAAAGGAACAAACAGGATTTCGAAAAGGCTACTCAACAATTGACCACATTCATACTATCAATCAGGTAATAGAGAAATGCTCAGAGTATAACCAACCACTATACATAGCCTTCATAGATTACGAGAAGGCGTTTGATTCAGTAGAAATATCAGCCGTCATGCAGACACTGCGGAATCAGGGCGTAGATGAAGTATATATAAACATTCTGGAAGAAATCTACAGGGGATCAACTGCTACCATAGTGCTTCATAAAGAAAGCAACAGAATACCAATCAAGAAGGGTGTAAGGCAGGAGGACACAATCTGCCCAATGCTATTTACCGCGTGCTTACAGCAGGTTTTCAGAGGCCTAGAATGGGAACAGTTAGGGATAAGAGTTGATGGAGAGTACCTTAGTAACCTGCGCTTCACCGATGACATTGCATTGCTGAGTAACTCAGGGGACGAATTGCAACTCCTGATTACGGAGTTAGACAAAGAAAGCAGAAATGTGGGTCTTAAAATTAATCTGCAGAAAACGAAAGTAATGTACAACAACCTCGGAATGCAGCAGCGCTTCGAGATAGGTAATAGTGCACTTGAAGTTGTAAAAGACTATGTCTACTTAGGGCAGGTAATAACCGCAGAGCCTAACCACGAGATTGAAGTAACTAGAAGAATAAGAATGGGGTGGAGCACATTCGGCAAGCACTCTCAAATTATGACAGCTAGATTGCCACTATCCCTCAAGAGGAAGGTATATAACAGCTGTATCTTGCTGGTACTTAGCTACGGAGCAGAAACCTGGAGACTTACAAAGAGGGTTCAGCTTAAATTGAGGACGACGCAGCGAGCAATGGAAAGAAAAATGGTAGGTGTAACCTTAAGAGACAAGAAGAGGGCAGAGTGGATTAGGGAACAAACGGGGGCTAAGGATAACATAGTTGAAACCAAGAAGAGGAAATGGACAAGGACCGGGCATGTAGCACGTAGACAGGGTAACCGCTGGTCATTAAGGGTAACTGACTGGATTCCCAGAGAAGGCAAGCGGGTTAGGGGGAGACAGACGTTTAGGTGGGCAGATGAGATTAAGAAGTTTGCGGGTATAAATTGGCAGCAGCAAGCACAGGACCGGGTTAACTGGCGGAGCATGGGAGAGGCCTTTGTCCTTCAGTGGGCGTAGTCAGGCTGATGATGATGATGATGATGATGATGATGATAATGATGATGATGATGATGATGATGATGATGATGATGATGCTGGCATTTGCTATACTATTTTTCGTCATTCTTCTGAGAAGCGTGGTATCCGCTAAACGCTTGCTGGGAATTTTGTGCCAATGGTTCATGCAGTGGCTGACGTCGATGAGGTATTATGCCTGAAGTGGGTATGTGCCACATTTAAGGGGGGGGGGGAGAAGAACAATCTATTGTGATGGGCTGGAGCTTTTGACGGCCCACTCGTTACGCTATTTGCATTGTGCGACGACTGGTTGTTCTTTCGCTTTTTTTAAACGCTTTATAAATCGTAATAATGCGATTGCTTTCCCGACATCAAACCTGGCTAAGGCAAGTTTGACAACAAGTCACAAGCACCGGCGTAGCTCGGTGGTAGAATACTGGGCTGACATCCAGCAGACCCGAGTTTGAGCCCCACTGTGCCACTGGTGCTAGATCTTTTTTCTAATTTCGCGCGATGTAGTTACGGACACCGGTGGCGGCGGACAACTGCGCGTGACCCGAGTTGTTATCTCATAACAGTTTTCGCTGTAAAATAAAGATGCAAAAGCCTTTCCACTGCAGTGATCACGAGCGTACGTGTGCATAGAAAGGGGTTGGGGAGAAGCTTTATTGCCCCCCCCCCTTCCTTATTGGGTCAATGTATCAGGCAAACACTGCACTGTCCTCTGCTCTTAGGTGACTAAACGAGTCGGCCACCCCATTGCTGTGAAAAAAAAAAAAAAAACTCACAGCGTATCCACGTCCGTCTGTCACTCCGTTCGTGCAGGCGGATGGATGCATGGACGGACTCACGGCCGGATGGATGGAAGCACCGACGAACGAATGCACAGATGGATGGACGGACGAACGGACGGACGGACGGACGGACGGACGGACGGACGGACGGACTGACTGACTGATTGACTGATTGATTGTTTGATTGATTGATTGATTGATCTATTGATTGATTGATTGATTGATTGATTGATTGATGGACGCTTCACTTCACTCATCATCATTCACTCCCTGGATATGCTGTGAAAACCACTAATGCCTTCTTGTTATATTATTCCGAAGGACATATACACACAACGCTATTTATTGACCAACTCATTTATTTATTTATTTATTTAATATTTAAAAATATTGCTGCCCTATACAGGGCTGTAGCAGAAACGGGATATTATAGAATACAAAAAGCAGGGGAAAAATTTCGAGAAAATAACACAAATGGCAAAACAAGAGCACTCAAGAAATCAATATGGAAGAGGAAGTTGGTTATACTCTGAAAATATGTTCATCAATAGCAACAATAAAGTAATAAACTCATAAACTTGAGGTGGCTGCATACTACTACTATACTACTACAGAAGAGGTAACGTCCCACGGCCTAAAAAGCTTCGCCCCTAAAACGAAAAGTGGACGAAAATATTGAAAGGGACCAAACTTACGGCCTTCGGATAACACGTCCAATGCTCTACCAACTGAGCTACCGCGATGGCCATCCCCCCCCTTCTTTTTTATAAAATATATATAGACGCATTTAAATGTGGGAATCTTCGGCGGGAACGCTAGTAGCGATGCCAAAAATTTTTGTTAGTTCGTTATTGTCGTGTCTAACAAAGAACAACGAGCTCTTAAAGTTTCCAGTCATGAAGAACTGGCCACGCATGCATTGTACTATCAAACAACGCAAGCATCTCGAGCTTCCAAATTTGGAGGTCAGGCGTCCTTTAGGAAAACAATGTTACAATAAATGACATTTCATGGCAAAGGCTTAACATGACGGTCTTTTTTAAATATAATTGTTATGACAAGTTCCACTACGTGTTGACGTGGTAAGCAGCAGTGTGGTGACCTCATCGCCCGATTTTCACATTAACCCTATTGATATTGATGATTTGACCAACGCTAATATTATCTCCAGTGATGCATCAGTGCACGCAAGCTAGAAATGAACAATATAGATGAAACAAGGCAAGTGAAGGAAGTTAACCAATTTAGGACATCCGGTTTGATACCCTACACATGTGAACAGCATGGGGAGATTACATAAAAATAGGTGCTTCAAAAGTGTTCGAGCTTTTTTGTTCATATGAAAGTTATATGCGCATCCTTTTGAGACCGGAAAGCCTATTAGTTTCATAACCACAGAGAAAGCAGATCTCACTATCAGTCACCCAATTTTTCTTCTAATTCACTCGTGGCCTTGAGTCTGCGCACGCACTGAGTTAAAAACAGTGGTTATTGAAGAAAAGGAAGCAAGGCACCGATTTCGGTCTGCCATAAGGCGACATAGCGCAGTGCCTGTCAAAACACGCTACCTGGTGCTGAATTCTCAAAGTTGACGGAACTCCCGATATACTTTTTTAAACTACTGCGGCCTTCCGTGAACACTACCTAAAGGCTTGTGTAACACCAGATTGCCGATGACCCCGCTGGCGGTCAATGAGCCCGTGTCACCGATTCTGAGTGTTTTCTCGCTCGGGTCAAGTAGAGCACGTTTGTTTTCCTTGAGCACCAACGAATACAAAGCGATTAGGGGGGTTGATAGCATGGCCACGCAGCGCTGACCTGCAAGCCATTTTTTGTAGCACCTTTAGGACGTGACTGGAGAGCAATCGAGGTGGCAGCAAACGATAATCTGGAGGGCTGTCACGAGCGTTGTCAAGTAGCCTCGATTCGGGCTTTATCACTTGAGCTTTGTCACAATGCTTTGCCACAATGTTTTGCCACACAAAAAAAAAAAAAACGCTCGTCTTCTAAGTCCTTCAGAGTTGATCTGGAACTCCTTACGATTACATGCCTCATATAATGTGATCGTTAGTTTGGCTCATTAGACTTCAGAACTAATCTTTAACGTATATACGAACTTCTCTAAATAGCATGTTCTTTGGACACTTTTTTTCATATTCTAAGAATTTCAAGTACACAAGCTGTAAATTTGCACATTGCATTGGCCCCTGTAGCAATATATGGATATCTGGTTTAACTGTGTGCATTGTGGTTTTGCTGTGTGGTTTTCATTTCGTAGTTAATCGATAAGACCCCGCTTTTGCGTATTTGAAACTTGCATAATCCCGCAAATTTCGTAAAAAAGCTCCCCGTAATATATTTCGCTTTTGTAGTGTCCCTTAAATCACTATTTTTTTCATTATTTACAGTGTGGTTGACTCTAAGAGCACATTTCGCGTGAAGTGGCCTAGTTTTTTTTGTTGTTTTTTTTTTTCGGTGAAGTGTATAGCTTATCGTTTTTCTTTTCAGGCTTGGCAGCGGCTCGGCACCTTCGCAAGGAGGGCCTCGATGTGGTCGTGCTTGAGGCCAGGGACCGCGTCGGTGGACGAACTTACACCGTGCAGGTGAGGCTCCGGACAGCACTTGCATCGTGGTCCTCGAATGTCTCGCTGCGCGGCGACAGCGCAGGTGAATGAAGGCGTACCCACGTGATCTTCTCTGAGCGAGAGGCGTGGGGAGTCCGTGTGGCGATGGTACGCTGGTATGGTGCTCGACTGCTGGTTTCAAAGTCGCGGGTTCGATTCCTGCCCCAGCGGTCTCATTTCGACAAAGGTGCGAGTCCCGTGTGCTGTCCGATGGCAGTGCACATTAAAGATTATAGGACACCAGGTGGTCGGAATTTCCGGAGCTCCTCGCTATGACGTGTCTCATAATTATACCGTACGTGACTTTGGCCCGTAAGACCCCAGTAATTATTATTTAGAGACGTCATCGAGCAGAGGGAGCGGCGTGTCGTGGCCTTGTTGGAAATTTATCTTTTCGTCCGCTTTACTTTCTTTCTTAATTTACGTCACAAGTATACCTCGAATAACATCTCCTGCACCTCACTTGGGTTTGTTGTCTGTTATTTTTTCGTTAACTTCGTGTCTAACAAGAAAAAACGAGCCCTTAAAATTCTTCATTTGTTCATTCGCCAGGCCTTCAACACACTGGCGAATTCTTTTCAGGCGTATAGAAGTGGAAATGCAATGAAGGAGCTGCTTTGATTTCGTGTTTAATGGCGGAATTGGCTGGCATAGCAAACGCTTTGGTTTGCCATCGGCCGTACCACCTGCGTGATAGGGCCTCCGATGCGTGTGTGCCGATCCCGCTTATACATTAGCACATGTGCATAGACGGACATTCAAATACACCTATTTCCACTCCACAGCTGCAACACGCTCAAGAGCGACTGTTTTAGGGCGAGTATATGAAGTATGACAAATATTTGCGTGTGATGTGCAATTTGTGTATGTGGAGATACTGCCGCCTTGCCACAAATGACGAATGTTCCAATATTTATTTAATTATTTATTTATTTTATTTATTTATGTATTGTGCCGATTCGCTTCTGCTCGTTTCGGCAACACGTATCATGATTTGGTAATGTACACAAAAGGAAACACGAAACGATAAATTACACCATTTTCCACTAAAGGGAACCATGTGTAGATGCAAAGCAGCGGGCGCTATAGCGCTTGCACTTGCGACGGCGTTGACGCTGGCTCTCATCGCGGCATTGCTCAGAAGAGAAACCTGGGGAGGCGCAAAGCACGAAGTGATGGACCGGTGGTTCTCACTGGCACATGTCAATCGCTGCTAATGGGCAATGAGAGACAGAAGGCTCCGATCGGACACGAACGGCTGTCCACCTTTAGCGAACGCGCACGCTGCGAATTTTTAAATGCGATGCATTTCTTAGCAAACGTAGGCGACATTGAAAGTATCTATCTATCTATCTATCTATCTATCTATCTATCTATCTATCTATCTATCTATCTATCTATCTATCTATCTATCTATCTATCTATCTAGCCGCTTACGCTTGGGGTCATCTCGGGGTAAGCCCCTTAACTTTGCGTGACCCAAAATTAGCATGGGAAGGTAAGATGGTTTGAGGAATATGATGCGCTGGTCAAGACACGAATAATGTCACAATCCCGTCGCGTACGTCGTCAAACACTTCCTGCCAGACAGTGACACGTACCCACGGGCGGGTATGTGCCGCTGGTATGCGGTTATGTACCACAGGTGATTTAAATTTAGTTTCTACCCAGGAACGACGAGAACACAGGTGGAGAATTTTAACCCGTGCGCGTTAAGGAGTACCTGACATCGGTAGCGTCGACCCGACGAATACAAAGAATAAATGTCAGAGTTCCAGCTGGAATGGATCCCAACCATTCTGCGTGGCAATGAAGCATTTTACCACAGAACTACGCCAAGTCTCGGAACTACTTTTCATACAGACGCTAATCTCCGTGAAACGCCAATAGTGGTTGCAGTGCTGCCTACTCAATTTTATACACATTTGATTTGTACACTTGTGATACAGCCGTCACGTCGGGTTAACGTCAATCGCGGTTAATTGTTATGCGCTGAAGTTGATTTATGTAGCAGTGCCCAGGGTCAGCATCCTCGCGAGAATCAGCGCTTCATATCAGCTTCTGGTGTTGCCAATACGCATGTTCCAATTGACATCATTGCGCAAGTGCCAGTAACCGGTTATATAAACATCTGTAACTGTTCAACATATGTCGTGCGTGCAACATTAGTACATGTATTTAGCGTCATTTCATGACGTGTCGCTCAATAACGAAATTGCAACACGGTCACCTTCCCTCCGCATGCTTCGCATAACGTCGTTTCTCAAGTACGTTGGATCTGTCGAATTTTTTTATTGCTCAAAGCACAGGAGGAATCCCCCACGTGCACTACCTTGGAGGTCAGAATCCAGTACCTATATATATACGGAGTGGCTAGTGACCGGTTGTGCAGCGCAAGCAGTCACTGGTCCGGTTCACAGTTTTTTTCAATCAGGCAACTCGCTAGCAGACGCTGCCTGCGTGGGCGTTGCGAGGCGAGAGGTGGGGAAGCGTAGAAGAGGAGAGAGATATGGGGAGGGGACGCGCATGCGCAGTGGGTGTGCTAATGCCGCTGGGAGGGATGCCTATAGAGGAGAGAAGGGGGAAGCGAGCGTAGGTGCGGAGAGAGGGGGAGGGGTGCGCATGCGCAGTAAGGGTGGTCACGCCGCACACCGGATAGAGCTCGAGCATAGTTTGGCACCTAAAACGTTGAGTTTTTAAATACTTTTCCTGCATTTAAAATGTCTGTGGCACCCAAAGGTGCCCACCGAGTGTGCTTTTTAAGCATCAAAATACTGTACCACTTTTTCTAATAAGTACGTTTTTCATGTTTCATGTTTAATAAGTACGGTTTCATGTTTTTACATGCCGGGATGTGACTAAGACGTTAAAGTCTATGCTGCTGCTACCCGACTGGGTAATATTTAGGTTATAGTAACTAAATTACTTTTTGTTGCGGCGACTAATGTAGTAAATTACTTCTGTTGGTTGGTAATTTCGTATTATAACGGCATGCTTCAAGCAAGCGATTTTGAGGAAATTATTCATTTTCCAAAATATTTTTGACTGAAGTATGCGTGTCCGCTGCCCTTATGAAACTTCACTAAAGAATTCGATGCCATTATTAACTCGGAGAAGATGGGTGACCAGTGCAGAAGGACGGCCGCGAAATGCCTTCTGGAAGTGCGTTTGGGAAAAGTATATCTCAACACAGGACGCTCCAAGGACATCACGAAAATACACTGTTCTGACTGGGGCCTTCCCGAGAAATCTGCTTTCAGGTGGCACCAGCGACTTCTTTTTCGTGGGCATTTTGAACACATGCACCTCTAATGGTGCTATAGTTAAACCCACGTGTGACGTCAAACTTCCGCAAGTGATTATTTTTTGTTATTAATACATTTATCCATGTCAGATTTATACATTTTTTCCCCAGAAAAAGACCTTTAATTCCGCCACCACGAAAGTCAACGTAGCCATCATAGAGAAGTGTTTACATTTGTGTAACGTCGTGCACACTGCGCGTTGGGGTCAATCAAATGTGTTTATTTTATGCATACATGGGTGTTTATCCCAGCGTTTACGACACTAACTTTCGAAGTGTAGAAGCCTGCGTTCAAATCTAGCCAAGAAAGCTTACTGTTTTATTAATTTTTTTTCTTCATTCCGCATCGTTTTCTGTGATGCATGCGTTCTCAAGCTGACTTCCGGGAAACCCAGATGTTCCGTGAAGGACACATTAGGGTTCCGCGATTGGCCAGAACGACTGCAACCCGTCTTCGTTTCACGATCAGTGGGAGCCAATGTATTTGTTATAACGAGCAACATTGCATTGAAATATCCATTCAACGAAGCCATCGCACGTCGCGTTCGCACATCGGGTGTCTGCGGATAGCGAGGGACCCACGAGGTTGTCGTCTAGTGCGTGCCTTGAGACTCGCACGATTTGCGGACCCGTAGTGACAGTATGCGTGCTGGAGCGCTTGTAATTCATGCTCGCGAGCATTCGAACTGGCTCAAACGACATTATCGCGCACCTCGGCTCTTTATTCGTGGCTCATGGCGCATCAACGATCACGTGGCTGAAGTTCTCATATACGCGCTGATTTGTTCCTGCTCCATGTCGGCTTTGTAAACAACAACAAAAAAAAAATACACGCACCTCGACGAAGTGAATCGTGACGAGTGAGCGAATCTGTGGGCATTGTATCGGGGAGTAACCGTATATACGTTAGCCGAGTTCTGCCTGATTTAACTGATTTAATGTACATTTATTTCGCCTTTAAGCCGTCTCAGGCAACATCAAGGAGGATTTCTCCCGGCTGTGGCGGCTGCATTTCCGATGGAGGCGGAAATGTTGTAGGCCCGTGTACTCAGGTTTGGGTGCACGTTAAAGAACCCCAGGTGGTCAAAATTTCCGGAGCCCTCCACTACGGCGTCTCTCATAATCATATGGTGGTTTTGGGACGTTAAACCCCACAAATCAATCAAGGAGGATTTCGAAAATTGGAGGAGTGGAGATAAGATAGGCGTCGAAAGTAAATCGAAGAACTCGCCATCTTAGCCGTGGCAAAACACCATTTAAATATTGGTAATTTGTTGATATTTGTATGGCTCGACATGTGTTTTGTGTAACAGGTTTATTAATAGTAATAATAGCATTCGGTGGGCAGTAATTTTGCAACGCCATCATTCACGACTGAGAAAGATATGGAAAGGTAATTAGTATGATGCAGTTTACTCACTTCGTATAGGAGCAATTTTTTCAATACCTGGCACAAAAACACAGGGTGATCACTATGGCTACCTGGACATTGGCGGAGCGTACATCGGCGCCACCCAGCGTCACCTGCTGCGCGTTCTCAAGGAGCTGGGCCTGGAGAAGCACCTTTACTGCGTCTACTACGAGAACTGGACCGTTTTTACAATACTGGTACGGCCCTCCAATCCACTCCACTCGTAGGCAAGGAAACAACTGTCCCACAATAGCGACTGACAGCTGATGTAGCTTCACAAGCACTTGCCTTTCATTTTCTACACGAAAAAAAAAAATTAAAGAAGCACTTACTATAGTCAGTGTATGGTACAGACCGTAGATTCCACTTTCGCCATATGTGCAAACGGCGACATAGTCTGCAAAAGTTAGTGAATAAACGAGCATTTCCGTTGTTGTGCGCGCCTCAGTGACAATTGATGAGTAGCTGTATATACGTTACACATGTTGCTAGGACTCTTTCGTGACTTTGGCTAGAAATACCGGGACTTCACGTAGGATGACGAATTTACTAGGGCAATGTCGAACAATGAAATAGCTGTAAATGTGACACCAGCAGTTCTGCTAATTTCAAGTCAGTGAAGCTGCTTGAATTTTTTTTTTTTTTTAAGTCAAGAGGCAACGCAAACGTACGTGCGTGGTTCCAAGGTCCGTTCGCTGCTTAGGCCACATAAGACTTCTGGTAGACATGAGTGGGGCTGTAATAAAATGCATCGAGATTTACTTACGACCTACCGCCGCCCTAAAGCGCCAGTTTGCGTCTCGTGAACAGGGCCGACGCTACGTCACCACCGGCGGAGACTTCCCGTCGTTTTGGAACCCCATTGTGAACATGGATGTGAACAACTTCTTTCGCAGTCTGGATCAGATGGGAGAAGAGGTAAGTGAACGCCAGTGGTCTGCCGAATGCATGAAAATGGTTAGCTCTGTTGCCAGTGTGTGTAAAAATAAAAAGATGTTATACGTAAAAGCAAAGAAGTCGAGGCTGACATTTGCTGGGCACGCTCAAAGAACTAACAATTCTGTGCTGTTTTGAAATTCAGGCGGGTCTCTGGATAGCTCTTGCCTTTTGTAGTTCCTCTTATAAGGATTACCGTTCATTTGATATAGTTATTCAGTGCGCGATTCGACCGCCAAAAAAGTGCTGTGAAGCCAAATAGCTACAAGAAAGAAACCGGGTTTATCGTGTTAACTTGACACGGTCGACTCTTGGGAGGCCGGACGGCTACTTGCTACGCTATATAGTACTTCTGCTGGTAATGACGACCGCTGTCCTGGCGCCACGACACGCAGTTAAGAGATAACAACGTTTTTTTTTTTTTTTCTCGTATTAGTGAATTACTTTTTCACTATATCAAGAACACCGCGTTTCCCGCGAGAAAGTGCGTAATACGAAAATGCATGGAGGTGGCGACACCACCTTGAAGCTCCCGCGCAAGTAGCGCTGACGTCACAAGTTTTGGAGGGGTCTAGTCGGGCCTACGTAGCTCATATAATCGGTGAACGTGAAGTACATCGTCTTCCGAAGAAGCCAGAAGCTTAACATGCAAAATTTTATGAAATTTCGTTCAGCCTATGTAAACAGAACACGGACACCATGAAATCTAAGTCATCACCGTCGGGTATGGATGGATGGAGGGATCAATTTTATTGGGTCCTTCGGAACGTGCTTTAGCGCGTTGCGAGTATCTCCCAGAGTGGGCAACGAAATTTCGGCAGAAATGTTAAAGGTGAGAATTCTTACATTTATTTGGCATTCGTTAATAAACCTACGATGGTCAAATTAAGGGCACTAGAGATTTCAAAGCATGCCTAATCCTTCTAAGCATATTTATTGTTTAGCTTTAGTTCTGCGCAAAATGCGCAGCGTATAGCCACGGCAAAAGCTGGAAGAGCGGCATATAGAGCATTTTTAAACACTCTTCGGGCCACTGCAAGTACACTTGCATGACACCCATTATGCTATTATTTTTTATTCTGCGAAGACGATAGGTACGCGCGCTACGCATCTGCAAGGCATTATGTACACTTCGTTGACGTGGTGGCTGATGACGCGATGTATTTCTGTTTTCTTTGTTTGTTTTTACTTATTTTTCTTTCTTTTTTTTTCGTGCTAAGCCATAGAGTGGTTACTGACATCCGCGGCGGCGGTGGCGGGCAACTATACGGCGTCAGAAAACGGCCGCTATAGTGATTTTCATGACAGCTTTCGTTGTGAAAAAAACAAACAAAAAAACTAACTGGGAGGTCATTTTGCTAGAACGCTCTTTATGGAAACTTCACTGCCGTTATGCCGTTGCACATCAGTAACCTGCACTTCTGCCTGACGAAGGACGTCTGGCGCGCAGCTCTACAGGCGGTCATGCGTATAGAGCGTCGCGTACCACTTCCGACGTGGCAAGACAGAAAGAATGAACTCAGCAAAAGCTGATTGTGAACGTGGGGTGCCGAGGGGATTGCGAAAGAGTGCAGAGTGAAGCGGAATGAAAATGCAAGATCTTCAGTATATGCCCCGCCGAAACAAAACAAAACAAAACAAAAGACTTCAGTCCAGGGCGGAAAGCGCAGCACAGCCACAGTGAAAGCTGCAAAGGCGGCATCCTGTCGTAAACTACCTTGGGGCTAACTACTGCAAACACATTTGCCAGGCACCCTCTCAGCCCGATAAACCTTATTTTTTGTCAAGTTGGGTATAGTACCCACCTACACCATTATTTGTCATTCTGTGGGTATTCGAGGTGTTCACCACGAGGGCATTATACGTGCACTCCGCTGATGTCTTGGCTGACGACGATGGAAAACCATGGCTGAGCCTTTTGTAATAGGTTGGAAGGCTTAAACGACCACTTTATTACGTAATTCTCGTTTTCTGACGGCCGCTATACGACAGCTGCGCTGAGTTTCCGCATTAGGCGATGTCATAACTATTTAAAAACGAATACAACCTGATAAAAGCTTTACCGCTACCTTATTAATCAGTCTATTTAACGGTGCTAGGTGTTCGCTGAACTTCTTTCTAGTCGACTTGGTTAGACTTTACATTTACTTTAGGTAATTGACTTTCGTAGCTCGAGTGGACAGGCACGAGCGTCGCGCGAAAATGAAGTCACTGGAACTTTACGCGAAGAGCATGTGTCGCGCCATCTGGTGCTGGCGTCACCACACAGCCGAGAGCGAGAGATACGCGGCGTCCATTACGCAGCAACGTCAGCCCTTCCCTACAGCATCCTCCTAACCCTATTTAGAGTGGCCTAGAATACTGTGCAGGTCGCTGTACCCTAATGGAAACAAGGCATAGTTGCCTGTTCCGCTTGCAATAAGCGGATTTGGACTTTCCTTCGCAGAGTCGCTTGTAGCGTTTCCCAGTGGCTTGCCACATTTTTTTTTTTTTTCCTTGAAGGGATGAGGGAGGATTGGTCGAGCTTTCCTAGAAAATATAGTTATCCTAGTGATCACCACGTGCACCATCATCTCGTGCAACCAGTTTCGAGTAGCTACCGAAAGGCCAAAAACGAGCCAGGCAGTTTATGATAATTGAAGTGGAAGCGCTTTACTGTTTGAAGCGAGGTATGGTTCCCTTAGAAAGCGTAGTTGTAAAGCGAGATTTAGTAAAGAAGACGAACTATGGATGCACATTCTGTGGGGAAGATAAGGAAACCATGGAGCATGTTCTGATAGAACGTGGAGATATAAACCTAGCTGTACGCTTGGACTCAAGCCTATATATATATATATATATATATATATATATATATATATATATATATATATATATATATATATATATATATACATGAAGCCTTGGCTTTTAAGGGCAACAATGGAAAGCTGAACACGCCTGCGATAGATATGAGTAACAGATGGTTAGACAACTTGCGGACAGACAACTTGAAAGAATGCACAAAAATAAATATTATGAGAAATGAGCACATTTTGCCGTAAAGGGTGAAGAGCTGAGCTGTGGATATGCCTTTTTTTTTTCAACATATATTTTATCAAAGCAGATGAGGCATGAGGCCAACTTAAAAAATAAAGTTTTTTTTTATAGTTTTGATTCGGAGATTCTGGTGGCACACTTGTCACCGCTTCGTTATAAATAGGGCGCTCATAGCATCCATTCACTCTATAGCGCGTTCATCGATGACTTTGGGTAATGAGTGCTAAAGTCAAACATACGTCGGGGCAATGAACAAGCAACGTTAATCATGCACTGGCAAACGTGCATTTCATCGAATAGGGACTACCCTCAAGGCAAGTTTAAAATGAAATATGTGCTTTCATTCATAGTGGCGGATATACCCAATGTGCAAAATAGTTGCAGAGATTTTTTTTAGCTCCCCTTCGTATTTGAGTGTCTTTTTTATTATTATATGTACTGAAAGTACTTTTAAAAATGTGAATATTCATTATATTGCTGCTTCTTTCGTGATGATTATTTGCGCGTTAGCTCGGTAGGATACGATGACTATGGAAACAAGCTATGAACTTTGGATAGTGTAAATAGGTGACTAGTTAATGTGAATTAACTATTTCACGTGCGTTACGCATCCCGACGGTTATAGTCTTACGCACGAAATGTGTATAACGTGTATTTATTTATGGGAATAAACTCATTCATTTGCGTACGTTAGTGAACAATACGACAACACATTGATGCGATAACGACACGGAGAAGTGCTTGTATAAGTTTTTTTTTTTTCGGGACCTTCAAGTTCGGATCAAAACTGTGCCAACACAAACATGTATCTTCGTGGCAACATAGATAAGCTTAAACGCGTGAATGGGCCGTACATAATCATATTGAGCTAACGCGATTGGAGCACACGCGCCAATATCGTTAGTTGGGACAGCGATGGTCGTCATCACTGTCCCACGCAACTTTTGCTACTAAGAGTGCACGTTAATAGACGCACGTTAAAAGCGAAAACATTCTTTTTTTCAGCGCCTCACTACGGCGTCTCTCGTAGCACCCAATTAAAACCAACCTATCTGATCAGGACGACTGCGGCAGGCTAGGAATTTGCTTCGGTGGGGGAGCGCTTTGCTGAAAACCTTGACTATTCTAGATAAGCACCTCAACACCTATTTTTATTTTTTGTTTTCGGTAAAGCACTCATAAGAATGTCACCCGCCACTGTGGTCTAGTGATTATGGTGCTCGAGTGCTCTGCGGGATCGAATTCCGGCTGCGGCGGCCGCATTTTCTACAGAGGCCGAAATGCTTGAGACCCGTGCTCTTATACTTAGGTGCGCGTTAAGGAACCTCATATTGTCGAAATTTTCGGAGCCCTCCACTATGGCGTCTCTCAGAACCATATCGTGGTATTGGGACGTGAAAGCCCAGCAGTTATTATTCATATCCATCTGAAATAGGGCAACCCCCGGCTGCGGGCCTGTGTCGCCCGACATGTTTGCGCACATTTTGGGACTTGGCCAAAAGTGATGCTCGTCGTAGGATTGTTGTCCTTTTATGCAGAACAGCGGATCTACCTTGTCAATCTGTCTCTTCATCTACCTGGTGGTCAACTAGAGCCGCTTTTATGCACTCTCCCAGATTCCCGTCGACGCACCTTGGGACGCACCGCACGCCGAGGAATGGGACAGGATGTCATTTCAAGACTTCATCGATCGCACCTGCTGGACAAGGTGTTCTTTCTATAGACGTCTACGTTTACCTAGTCATACTAGTAGCCTATGTTGATAAATGCCTGTAATATTTTTGTTAAAGGTTGCCTTTGATTATGTGCAACAAGCAGTGCTTTAAGCGGAAGCTCAACGTAATCATTCTTTCCCTCTTATAGCGCTGTTTCCTATACAACTTGAACCGAACAGCCCTCCCTCTATGCTGACGCATTAGGTTAATTAATAATAATAATAATAATAATAATAATAATAATAATAATAATAATAATAATAATAATAATAATAATAATAATAATAATAATAATAATAATAATGATGATGATGATGATGATGATGATGATGATGATGATGATGTCATTGCTACCACAAGGACAAGACAATGAATCCAGCAGCCCATTTCTTTTGCATCGTGCCTTGTGTAACTCAACAAAAGGCTGGTGTTAGGGAAGCATGGTTGCTGCAGGGAGCGACCTTCTTGCTATCAAATTCTGTACGAGGCCAATCGTCGGCTGTCATCGTACGCTTTCACTCGCAACTGGAACTTACGAAGGCGAAGCCACGTTGTTGTTGTTTTTTTTTTCTCTTGCCGTGAAGTTTTTGCGAAACCTCGTGGAGACGCCGACGGCGATAGTGCGCAAGGAGCACTGGCGTAGCGAAAGTGGGGTGTGGGGGTCATCCCCATTCTAGATATTTGTCAATTTTGGATGCGATACATCCCCCCCCCCCCCCGAAAAAAATCTTCTGGCTACGCTACTGGCTAGGAATGGTCATGTAATTGCTATCGCAATCAAGCTAAACAGGCATTATTACTCTGACAGAACGCTCGTATCTGTAATCATGGCATATCACAGAGCAGCAACAGTAGCAAAAGCGTGGTACAAATTAGGAAAGTAGAACGGGGAACGTTTTCGCACACCACGATGCACACACTGATTTTCATGTGCGGCAGCTAGTGCTATAGTGGCAGTGGCATTTAGTGGGTGTATAATATGTTATAGAATGGCTGCCGTGTAACAGATTCCATTAAGAAGCGTTACCACCCTCCGGTAATAGCTCAAAAACAGACCTCGAAAGCCGCTTACAGCTTGTCGCTCAACTGCTCACCAAGTACAAAGGTGTGCGAGGGCACGTTTCGACGAGCTCCAGGACAATGGCAATTATTTTTATTCACTCGATAACCTTTAATGAGCAAGGGTGACCCGGTCTTATTATTTATTTCTCGCAGTGTGGCCAAAGCGATGGCGAAGTTCTTTATCGCCATCAACGTAACGTCCGAGTCGTACGAGGGATCCCTTCTGTGGATGCTGTGGTACGTGAAACAGTGCGGGGGCGTCAAGAGGATAATCTCCATCAAGAATGGCGGACAGGTGCTGGTTTTGCTGCTCATTCAGTTAATTATGCAACTCGCAGAGTCACTCGGTATGTGAATTCACGCGTTTGACGCCAATGGGCCCACTACCCCTCTTCTAGTTCACTGTACTACACTCAGACGCATGTACAGACGGGTCCACTGTTAAAGGGAACACTCGGTGCGTGAGCAGCATGCTCAGATTTCGTTATTTTACGTAATTATAGCGGCTTAGATATGCGTAAAACTACTGGCTGTTAAACGTTCCGACTCCTAGTGACAGACTATTGACTTGCACGAAGATTGTTTCTTAACCCACTTGCTCTTAGAGGGCCAGGAATATTGATGGTGTGCATTTGAGTGTTCCCTTTAACAGTGGACCATGCTGTACACCGGTAATTCAAATGTAAAAAAAAAATAGAGCCTTGATGTTTCATTGCTTTATTTTTTTTTTGAGGATTTCCCTCTGGTTCTGATTATTCGAAAAGCATCCTAAAGATGTTCGTTATTTAAATTATTCGCTGTTCCATTCAAGTAACGAATGGAACCAACCATTATGGAAGATTTTACATACATCCATTCACTCTTGCCTCAGCCAGATTGGTATTAGTTCGCTCACGAGAAGATCAGCAGTTTCATTTTCGGATGTGAGCGAATCCTTAGCAGTCCAGTTCTTCATGCATCTCTCTATTTCTGTTTACGAACTCACCGTTGGCTCGCTTCCTCTAGAGATACCGAGATGCGACGTTTGGCCAGTTACGATGGTGCCAATCACTCAATTGACGCACCCCATAAACCCATTAAAAGCAAATTGAAACTGGTGGCGACTTTTTACTTTATGATATACTGGTACTCTACGTCGACATTACGGCGCGTGCCTCTTATTATCGCCCGCCCCGCCGCGGTGGTCTAGTGGCTAAGGTACTCGGCTGCTGACCCGCAGGTCGCGGGTTCGTATCCCGGCTGCGGCGACTGCATTTCCGATGGAGGCGGAAATGTAGGTCCGTGTGCTCAGATTTGGGTGCACGTTAAAGAACACCAGGTGGTCGAAATTCCCGGAGCCCTTCACTACGGCGTCTCTCATAATCATATATGGTGGTTTTGGGACGTTAAACCACACATATCAATCAATCATCTTATTATCGCCCATTGTTTCGTATTACTCGTGCGGCGGGGCAATTGTCGCGAGGATGGACCCACTGTTCCCGACCTCTCCGCATTAACAAATGGAGTCTGCACTTGAAGGTCCCCTAAACAGCCTCTGAAGGTACAAAAAAAAAAGCAAATATTCTCTCCCAAGGTTTCCCGTTCTCGCGGCAGAATTCGTGACGTCAGCAGTTGACGTCGGGTGATGAAATAAACGTTCGATTGGTCAATATACTTTTGTTGTGAATCGTTTCGTACACTGTTTTACCACGCTGCCACCTGCACGTTGTGCCTTGTACTGCAAGACTATCGTGCGTGATAAACCGATTATTCACTTCGTTTTCTGCGTTTTCTATTGCGCCACCAGAGAAAGCCCCGCGCGTGTAGTAAAAAAAAAAGCGCGACATCCTAACTGGCCTGCACGAGAATCTTGCGAAAAAGCAAAGACAAAGTGGCACGCGCGTGAATCGGTAGAGGCGGTGTATAGTAGGCAATTTGACGAACAATGTATCAAGTGTTCCGTCACTGTAATTGCATGATAATTAATTTGCTTTTATATCTGATAGGTTGTGATTATAGTTGGTTAGGCTTTTCGTGTGGTTGTATACGAGTGCGTGGGGGTTTCATAAATGAGCTCCGGTGAAATAAAAGTCAGTTGCGAGAGTGCGCTTTTCCGAGTCTCTTCTTTCGTCTTCTTTCAAGTTTGCGCGAACAATGTTTCTCTCACGTAACTGACCCAATGGTTAGTGCTCACATTCCACGCATTTATGAAGGAATAAGTGGCGAGATGGAGAGAGAGAGAAAAAAAATGAGCGAATGGCAGGGAGGTTAACCAGAAATTGGAGCATACGGTTTGCTACCCTGTACCAACCGACGAGATGAAGATGACGCTTGTGGGAAGGGTGGTGAAAGAGAGAAAAAAGGCTACTGTCTCGCCTTCTAACTCGGGGTGGTGTAGGGGCCCTTTTATGGTATATAGTAATTTGTACGTTCGCTCTGCTCTGCATACGTGCAACATTTAACCAGCTGATGTGTAAAAAAAAAAATGATGGCTCCCATCGGAGGGAGAGATGCTATAAAGGTTTCGTTGATCTACCAGTGGAGTGAGGTTTAAACCCCGAAAAATGATTCCAGCGTCGTTGCGTTTTTTGTTGTGATTCTTGCAGGAAAGAAAAATGAAGGGAGGCATGATGCAGGTTAGCCTCAAGATGGCGGAGTCCTTGGGAGGTTTGTAAACGTTCACTCATTTCTTTAGTCCCCGTAATTATTCCTGCCTTTCCTCGCGCATTCCAAAATCAGCGGGATGGTCACAATAATTGAATATTTTGACCACTAAGCCTTAAGAATATCACGGGAATCCGCCTGGCAATCGCAAAGATCTGTACGGTATTGCTGTTGTAAACTATGTGTTTTTATTTTGATGCTTTTGTTGCCCCTTGTACTGTACCATACACCACTTCAGCGTTTTATTGTAATTATTCTTCGCATTGTCATTAACTATTATTATTACTGTGCTTTTCGTTTTTCAGCTTGTTTTCCCTAATAAATACGACATTTGTGACGTATACCTGTGTGCGGCATGGCTGTGTATGTGTGTATGGGCATAGAATAATCTACATTTTTTTTCATGTTTGTTCTTCTTCTGTACCCTCCTCCAGTGAAATGTTTTACAACGGAAGCTCTTATGCGATCACTTTTCGGGTCACGCGCAGTTGTCGTTGTCCGCTGCCGCCGGCGTCCGTAACCACATCACGCAAAAATAGAAAAAAAAAAAACCTTGCGCAATGACACAGCGGGGCTTGAACCAAGGTCCGCTGGGTACCAGCCCAATATTCTACCACTGGGTTACGCCGGTGCTTGTAACTTGTCGTCAAACTTGCCTTAGGCAGGCATTCCCGAGCACCAAAGGCACAGCGGGGCTCGAACCCGGCTCCACTGGGTGCCAGCCCAAGCCCAGTATTTTACCACTGAGCTACACCTGTGCTTGTGACTTGTTCTCAAACTTGCCTTAGACAGGCTTAATGTCGGTAAAGCAATCGCGTTAACACGACTTATAAAACGTTTCACAACAGCGAAAGAACAACCAGTCGTCGCACAATGTGAATAGCGTAACGAGAGGGCCGTCCAATGCCCCAAACCATCACAAAAGCTTGTTCTTGTTCCCCTATTAACTTTGGCGCATACCCACTTCAGCCATAATTCCTCATCGTCGTCAGCCACTGCATGTACAATTGGCACAAAAATTCCTTGTGTTTAGCGGATACCACGCTTCTCGGAAGAATGACGAAAAATAGCATAGCGAATGCCGGCCTATCTACCCAAAAATTTATTATTAATGCCCTAGTGGGTACCAAGCAAGTGTGCTTGCAGTAGTTACCCAAAAGGCTGTGAAAGGCCGCTCTTCTAGCTTTCGCTGTGACTGTGCTGCACCTATACCGCGCAGGCCTGGCGTTTCTTTATGAACGCTGCGGATACTCAATCGATATTTGATTAATTAATTTACTGCAACAGGAGCAAATATAACATCGGATAAACAGCGATATCTGCTGCATCCATGGATAATGTCACGTACAACGAATGGAATTGCAATAGGTGTGATAGAATACTTCGTCAGGAAGCATTGCTGTGACTATGTAGGGCGCATGTCAGTGAAGTATTTTGAAAGTTTTTCAGTAGTGGTTTCAGCGGACGTGGTTGCCTGCAGTGATAACGGTAGATGGATTCTGGCCTGAAAACGCCCGTTCAATCCTCGTCGCGGCGGTCACATTTCATTATTGGCCGACTGGCTTCTCCAATGACATACACAACATCAGCACTGGCTGAAATCGTCACCGGGAAACAATTCTATAGCGTGAGGCACGATTCTGCGCGATACGGGCTCAATTCAGTTGGTAACTCGTCATATTGTAAGTAAATTTAGTGCACTTTCAAAACCCCTCCACAAATACTCACACATTCACACACGCTTCCAGACAATAGACACACACGCACACAAGTAAAATAACAAGAGACATACCACACACAGCGCTCACTGAACGTTGTGTGGGTCTCTTGTGTGGACGCGCGTGTGAATGTGTGAGTGTTTCTTGAGGGATTTCCAAGTTGCGCTAAATTTACTATACAGTATATATATGAAGATATTCCAAGGCACCCATGACGTTAACAGTGCTACTTCGAGCCACCGTGTTAGAGGAAACGCGATGTCGGATTCAGACACCAACCATTTTGTTGATTAACAAAGAATGGTGGCCGGATATTTAGTATAAGGGCTGTTTCTTGTTCACCGAGTCACTGTGTCCCACATCATCGGGCGGTTTTAGAAGTTCATATAGAAGCCTGGAATAAAGGTAATTATGCAGCGGGAATCCCCGTTTCTCCTACTTGAGTATCTTCTATCGCGCTTCCCTTAAAACCGTGTCCAGCATGTTTATTTTTCAAAGAAGCGCAGTTTAATCTAGAGCTAAATGCACGTGGTTAGAATCTTAGGAACAGCGCTACGGGTTGTTCTTGAAATTTTATCCTCCTCGGTCCCAGGGTGCTCAATGGGGTACCATTGATTTAAAGGCAACAGATTATCACAGTTCGATATCCGCGTGTCCAAATTTGTCGTGGCACAATAAGAATGAGTTGCTTTCACAAAGCCCTGAGAAGTGGCGCCGCGTATCTGTTGATATTCGCAAAACGAGCTAACGAAAATGACCGAGTACAGCACGAGCGCTCAGCTGTGGCCTCGTGATAAGTGGAAGTTTTTTTTTTTTTTTTTCACAGCTGTAGCGTGAACAACATCGTCTACAGTACATTCCTTTCTAGCGGTGGACATCATTTAGATCATATTTCAACGTCGTTTCGGTCTGATATTTTTGTTGCACTCAATCTTAGAGACTTCAAAAGATCAAGAGTACGCAAACAGGTACCATCACATTTTGAGACAACCGTTAAAATTTTCGGATTCGTAATTTTTCTGCGTTTTTTTAAAGGGCAGGGAGTCAAATAATACTGGTTTGCAAACGCTTTTTTTTTTCATTGGTGCATTCTTGGGACTGAGTAGGTTAGCTTACCGTTAGCTTCTTCTCAGTCTCTTTCTTTTTTTTTATTCTTTTTTCAGACAGGGTGAAGCTAAATTCTCCTGTGGTCGGCATAACTCAAGATAACTCGGGTGTCGTCGTCAGAACCCTGGACGGTAAAGAATACAAGGTGAGCATTAGAAACCTTCTAAATACGTCACATTACACACACACACAAAAGTAAAATAACAAATGGCTTAAAGAGAGAGGAAAAATCGGCCCCGTATCTGCATGTTACACTGCAAATGTCGTCGAAAGACGATAGTCTTGCGTACAGAGACAGTGAACAAAACATTTATTTGATGTTCTGCGCAACCCATTTTCTGCGCAACCCATTTTCTTTTTTTCACAAGGTGATCGTGCCACATCAACCGCGCACCACGACGGGGACGCTACACTTCCCCTAGCTATAGGGGGGGGGGGGGGGGGCAGCGCACCACCTGCTGCGACTCTATTCAGTTTTCCCCGTCGTCCCTAATACCGAGACGCGATCTCTTAAATGCACAGCTGCGCACACAGCAAGAGGACGCGTCCATACCAATTCAAGGTGCGGTTTATTCTGGTAAATAAAACGGCCTCATAATTGCACAGCGCACACACAGCAAGAGAACACGTCCCAACGTCTGCAAGGCGCGGTTCATTCCGTTAATTAAAACGGGCAGCGTCGCTCATGCACTCGCGAAATTCAGTGCGGACGACACCAAACCCTCACAGAGAAGCCACAACTACAAAAGCAAATTTTTTGCTAAGTTTAGCAACAGTCTGGCAACATTGATCCTTCAAGTCTGGCAACAACTTATGCAACGCCAAACAGAACCTAGCCGGCATGTGTGCGTCTAATCCTTCTGGGTCAGAAAATGCACCACGGACGACACCAAACCCTCACAAAGAAGCCACAACTACGGGGGCAAATTTCTTCACCAAATTTGGCGGCAGTCTGGCAACAACAACCCCTAAATTTGGCAAGTGACTTATGCAACATCAAACAGAACTTTGCCAGTCCTGTTTTCATAAACTCACCTTTTATCATTCATATTTCTACAAGCAACATCCTCTAGTATCATACTATTTGCATTTTTCAGCGTATATGCATTTTTTGTATAGTACAAGTACAGCCCTCTATGGCTAGTTCAAGAACTAACGAGAGGCAGTTTTGCACAACGACAACGGAAAACGCACGAGCCACACCATAAGGAGCTTCGCCCCTAAAAAATGTGGGAAGGTCGGTCGTGTTTGTAATCAAGATATGTGATCTTGTCAATAGGCAAGCACTGGCGGCAGGTCGGGCCGTGCTTGATGGGAGTAGTTTATAGAGTTCTATTATGGTCATGTGGTAAAAAGTACTTCGCTGCATTAACCACCGTCCTTTAGAGCACCACACCACTGTCAAGAACTTGGCTAGCGCGAAGCCAGCTGCGCATTGCAGAACGTGCCACGGTGAACCAATGTTTTATAAACCGAGATAATGTATGGGGGTAATAGCCAAATAAATCGCGAGATTGTGGAACTTTACGAGCACGTGAAGCAAACAAAGTGTGTACGTCAGCCAGACGTCTATCGCGCTCAATGATAAGGAATTGCAATTGTTGAATGGTTGTAATCAAATCACACCCTGCCACGTGCTTGATGGGAGTAGTTTATAGAATTCTATTATGGTCATGTGGTAAAAAGTACTTCGCTGCATTAACCACCGTCCTTTAGAGCACCACGCCACTGTCAAGAACTTGGCTAGCGCGAAGCCAGCTGCGCATTGCAGAACGTGCCACGGTGAACCAATGTTTTATAAACCGAGATAATGTATGGGGGTAATAGCCAAATAAATCGCGAGATTGTGGAACTTTACGAGCACGTGAAGCAAACAAAGTGTGTGCGTCAGCCAGACGTCGTCGCGCTCAATGATAAGGAATTGCAATTGTTGAATGGTTGTAATCAAATCACACCCTGCCACGACGTATACATGCCATATGTGATGTGGCCTCACGTGCCACTTCCATGTACTGACGACAGCTGTGGCACAGCCTTCCCGCTGTCCGCAAATTCGCGCTCATACTATGACTTCGCTCGTAATGTTACCTGCAGGGCAGCCACGTGATCATGGCCATGGCTCCTCCTATGCAAATGCGTGTCCACTACTCACCGCCGCTGCCTCCAATGCGCAACCAGCTGCTGCAGCGAATGCCCATGGGTTCCGTGTGGAAGTGCCTCGTTTATTACAAGGAGCCCTTCTGGAGGAAAATCGGTGAGCGAACCTCATTCTTGGATACGAGCGTGTACCGTGAAGGCACTTTCTGTGCCTGCTGAAACCCTTTGCTACCTCTACTTTCACTAAGGATAGCCCACTGAGAAATGAAGTATGCTATCTCTAATGAATGTGAGGCAGCAGTGTTCAAGTATACCTTAAGGTGAGAGCCCTACGTCACTCGTTGCCTGGAGACCTTGAGCAAAACACTGCGGACTCTAGAAGTGGTACAAAAGGTCCATGTGACCTTTCCGATGTGAGCAGTGTGTGGAGAAAGAATGAGCTCAGACAGGAAGATGCTTTTTGTGACGTGGTTATGACGTCATATGATAGTATCATCACATGACACAGATGCTTGGCCAAGGGTGGTGGGCCGACCTCAGTAATCCAACCTGTGTCGATCGCTCCTCATGTCTTGCATGATGCGTGGCCCCTGATTGTATATAACTAAGAGGAAGCGCAGCACCACATGAGGTAAGCAGCTTAAAAAGTTGGGCAAGGTTGTTCATCTTAGTGAAACTACGGTGGGAATTAGGGACACGAACAAGAAGGTGTGACAAACAATCGCAGACTGCCTATCAACTCTAGGGTTTATTGAAGCCTCAAATCCACCTTTGAACGGTCTCATCCTACGCTAAGATCGGGCACAATTTGGTGGTGAAAGTAGTTTTTTTCACGCTGGCTAAACTTTTTTAATAAGCGTCTAACTTGGCAAGGAAAAAGAGAGACGGGTGTGTAGGTAGTCGTGTAGAAATGAATTTGTTGTCCAGCACCGGAATAATTATGTACCTTGCACTGTCAGTGCAGATACGGTTTGCAGATTCTATTAACATGTCAAAAATTGTACATAGGTAAGAGCGCACCACATGGTAACATATGCGAGTAATGGAGCATGAGCAGTTTCTTTATTACGCCCCATCTTTGCATCTGCTTGTGCACTGCCGGGAAAGGCGGTTGCTAGGCAGTTTTTCAAGGACACGGCAGTTCTGGCCAAGGAAGGGAAGCTATTGAGCCACAGGCTAACAGAAACCTTCCATAACAGTAGGAAAGGTAGCCGAGTATCCTAAGTGATAAGGAATATGCGTATCTATGCTTCACAAGCCGCATATAGCCAGTTTACTTCCGCAGTTTTCTCATGTATAGGTAGATTCTCATGCAATTAATATCATGCCTTTTTATACCTTTCTTGGTTACCTTTTTGCGACTTTTTGTTGCTAATTGTTTATACTTATGGGGGGCATGAAAGTAGCTGAGACCGTTAGAAGCCTGATTTGAAGCATCAGTAAACCCAGTTAATATGCTGCGCTTGTTTTGTCTCTCGTCTTTTTTTGTGTTGTATCCTGTCGCATCGCACAGAGTGACCAAGATAAACCACAAAAGGTGCACAAGGAGAGGAGTGGGTGAGAAGGGGACGCAGTAACAATGAATTGGACAGGGTAATCTAATGCATGTCTTTCACCCTGTGGCTTGCAAGAAGTCTGTGTTTGTAGATTGTATGAACTGATGCGTCACCAAGCGTGCAACAGGTTTTTGACTTCGAGTGTTATAAACAGTGTAACATGTTGCCAATTTTCTCCACTTTTTTTGATAGGATACTCCGGCTCCATGTTGTTCACCTTGTCTGAAGACTGCCCCGTCGTGTACACAATCGATGACACAAAGCCGGACGGACAGTACCCGGCCATTATTGGGTATGCACAACCTCTATTTGGCAGCTCTATATGTAACTGGCATCAGTTAATGGGCCACAATATTTAATCTAATATATGCATGAAGTAGCCTTATTTTGTCTATTTCGACAGTGAACTTGCATTGCATGCGATTGAAAGCATCCGCGCAAAATCCGACAGGAGTTCTTCATGAGAACTGATTTACTTTGGCCATGAAATGTGTGATGTACCAGAAAAAGCCTAGTGCAATTAGGATACTTTTAGTGCTCGTTTATGTTTAAAGGGGCATCAAAATTTTGTGTGCCCTTCAAGTGTGCATCGTTTTAGTACTATCGAGGTTGTCAGTGTTAAATTTTCTTACATCAATGTTATGCTTGAAAGATACGTGAGAATTTTTTCATTTCTAAAAATAGCAAGCTTTTCTCAATGAAGCGCATTGTTAAATGTTTAAATGTGCCATTTAAAGCATTGGCTGTAACCGTTCACATGTTTCATTACTAGGTGGAATGAAAACAAATGTTCGAAAATGCTCGGCGTTATGTCTTCTGGAACTTCGCTGAAAAAAGTTTGTGAACTACGAAATTGAGCTAGTACTTCGTTTACTGTGAAGTGTAATGGATGAGCATGCTCTCAAACTGACTTGTTTCTTCGAATTGAAACCGCGTTTGTCCAGAAGGTGCCACTTGAATTTCCTAGCACTAAATTCACTGAGAGTGTCTAGGTTGTGCAGTTTTTGTGAATGGTACGCCTGTTCTTGCAGGTTCCTGCCTGCCGGCAAGGCGAGGAGTCTGGTGAATCTTTTGCCTGAGGAACGCAAGAATATGATCATCAAGGCGTATGCAGCTGCCATGAAGACTGATGAGGCCCTCCATGTGAGTGCGCTACACCTCCATATTAAAGGAACCAGTGCTTGGCCATTCACGGATGCTAGAAATGATCCAGCTGTTCATTTGCGATATGGTTTGTGTAACAGTTGCTACAGATTCTGTTCCTGCAAAAAAGAAAGCACGAGAAACAGCACTGTGTTTCAACCGATCTTGTTCATGAAAGCGCCAGCTATTCTTACACAACAGAAAAGAAGGTGGACGCATGCACAGGAACTCTTGTGACGCTGTCTGCACTGCAAATGCAGTTATAATAATGATTTACCAAACTCACAACCATGGACGAATTATTTCTTTAAATTGGAAAGTTTGTAAAATAGCGAATAGAATATTTTGCTTCTTTGAAATCTAAACGTGAAACGTATACTGAACTCAAAAGATATGCCCATATATAGGCCTATGCACGGGAAGGGGACGAAGTCTGCCCCATATATTCGACTTACTATGGGGATGCACTGCAATAAACTTTTGCTCCCCCCCCCCCCCCGCTTCGCACGTATATAGCTGTATCGCATAATTGTATCTGCCACTCAGCAACACCGTGCGTGTGAAAAATTCGCTATAGTCGCCCTGAACATCCCCACCCCCTCCCCCATGATTAACACCACTACGTTTAGCAAATCGGGCTCTGCTCTAAAGATAGCAAGATTGAATGAAGTCGTAGACGGTGTTTTTGTCGCTCGAGGATCCAGAAGAGTATCTAGATGTCCCGAACTCCCCCTCCTATAAGCTGACCACCTAACCTCCTCGTAAAAATCCTGAATTCACTCCTGGTTCTTGTGCGATTTCTCTGTTAGTGAGAGAGGATGATACGCTTTATGTTCATTGTGATACGTATGTGGCCAAGAAATGTGTTGATATGGTGCGATTTCGTGTTCTCTGATTACAGCCCATTCACTATGAAGAGTACAACTGGGCAGGAGAGCAGTACGCAGGAGGCTGCTATACTTGCATGATGCCGCCTGGATTCCTCACCACTTTCAAGAAGTAAGCCATTTACACTTCTTACGGGCGAAATCAGCAAACGGGACAACACCAATCATTCCGCCGTTCTCCTCTGCACTAGAGAGATTAATGTATGGGACAAGGGTTGTTCACTTCGACAATCAGTCCTAATAGTTCGTATTCGGCATGTTTCACACAAAAAAAAAAAAAAGAACTTAGCAAAAAAAAAACTGACCTGGACAAGCGGCTTTAACAGTAATGTCGCACTCCACGCCAGATTGATGGACTGTTACTGACTGCGGGCTTGTCTTTGTGCTGTGCTATCTCTCTTTCTATTTTCTCCCCCATCCCGTTTCCATATTTAGGGTAGCAAACCAATCATCTCTGCAGGTTAGCCTTTCTATCTTTCCTTCTCCACCAGTTATTCTATTTTCCCAAAAATGTCGCAGTTTTATTTCACTATCAGCCTAGCAAAATTTAAGGCGGAAGCCTTACAGCAGGCAGAAAAAGTGACTCTCTTCGGTGACAACATGAATACGAATGGTACGAAAATCGAACGTCATAGAAGATTACGACACAAGTCACGAAGGATGTGAAGTTGCGGCGTCATTATAACCAATGACTATATAATCACATCACACTGTCGCTTAGTTGAAGGTGGTCCTAACCTGGGAGGGAGTGACGGACACAGCCCCCGGCATAAATCTTTCGCATCTGAAAATAAGCCACTCGTTGGATAAAGGAGTTTCCACACGCCGCAGACAATGCCACAACACCCCAGATCTTAATATACTGCTTCGGTGTTGAAGGATGACATACGCAGTGCTAATGCCAAAAGAGCGCTTCAAAAAAGCCCGCAATGTTTTACAAACACAGGAAATACGAGCATGTGATACTGGGCATAAACGAGAACAAAGGGCGCTCACACATAGCACTATATGACGAATTATAGTAGGTGATCAGCAGGGAAAGCTTTTGCAATGCATCATTCCGCTCCAGGAAGGAATTCTATGTGGATCTTTTTTTTTTCCAACAGGATGTCGGCAAATAACTACAGCTGACACAAGCGAACTCTCACTGGGAAATTCGTGCAGTGACTTAGTACGCACATCAACTTTAAATTTGGTTGGCATCCCTAGACTTAGACCTAACAGGGGGTCTGGTTATCACAGCTGAGTGCAAAATTGTGAATATGCACCCAGCTTTTTTTTTTTTCGCATTTCAGTCCTTCTTATGTTTAATAGTCGAAAATCAGCTGCGTGCGCAATTTGTTTGCCGCCTAGATCGCGATTGCCGTGATCCTTCTGGCGCAGTTTAATCAGAGAGCCCATTGGGCGGCTTCACTTCGCCGGCACCGAGACGGCGAGTCAGTGGTCGGGCTACATCAACGGTGCCATCCAAGCTGGCGAGAGGGCTGCCAAGGAAGTTCTTCACTCACTAGGCTTGATCGACGAGGAGCGGATCTGGGAGCCCGAACCACCAGTCGATGATGTGAGTCTTCCATCGCTACAATGCTTGAGGGGAGAATCATGAGATGAACACTAAACCAGTCATGAATGTTCAAAAGAATCTCCCTGCCCTACACACTGTGCTTGTGTGTTGGGGAGGGCGATTTCAGGCGCCGCGCACATCAATTAAGTTTTGTAACAATGTTTACAGCTCTATTTACAGCATTGATGAGTGCATCGTTCTGTTGCAGGTGATCCCCGAGATCCCGTTCACAGACACATTCATGGAGAAGCACTTGCCCTCTGTCAACGGCTTCCTGTCGCTTGTTTGCTTCCTAGTTCCGGCAGTGGGCGCCACCTGTCAGCTGTGCGCTGCTCTGTTATCGTCGATAACGTCCCTAGAAATAACTGAAGTAGCGCCATTCGTTTCACCGTGCAGGCTCCTCCTCTCTACCCCATGCATGGTAGCCTTGGTAGTGCAAGCATCATCTTGTCTGTCCTCAGTCGCATGTTTTCTTATGCTTCCACGACAACACCAGCGATGAGGGGGTGCTGCACGGGCTTACCCTTTACTGAGCCCTAAGAGAGGGTATGCCTTAGTTCGTAGTTTCTTGCTGGACGCTGCAGGGGCGCTGAGCAGCTGCTGAGAGAGGAGGAAGAAGCAAGGGGTGGCGCTACTGTAGTTTTTTAGGGACTTTTACCACCTGCCGTCCTTTATGCATTGACAATGCATCTGCTGCCAAATAATATTCATCTCATCCCTCCATTTGTTCAAGAAGGCCCGAAGAACAGTGAACGTCCCTTTGGCGAGCAGTTCACAAAAAGATCGGGCAAACAATCGCTTTAATCAGCGGGAAATTTACGTTTGTAACGTGGACAACCTGTTAGCGCAGACAACTTCACACTGCCATAAATACTTGGATTACAAGCGTTGTTTGTCTTGTTTTGCAAGCGTAAAAAAATCGACACAAGCACTCACTAACGCCAAAAAATGGGCGTTTTCAATTTGCACGCTTTTACGCACGCACCATTTGCCCAGAACTGCAAGCTACGCCAATGCTGCTTGACTCATGAGTTCTTGTATTCCTTTGTGTGCCTCACCGAATTATTAAAGTTGAAAATATGTATTCACCAGTGGCGTAACCAGGGAGTGGCACACCGGCCCATGCGATCCCCCCCCCCCCCCCCCAATCTTCTATCGCCATGACATACAGAGCGAAAAATGACCATTTTAGAAAAGTTTGCCCCCCCCCCCCTCGCCCGACTTCAAAGGCTTTGTGTGGTGGGGCCGTGCCCAGTAATTTCTTTTGGAGAAAAAAAAGGGGGGCTGTGTAAAATGGCGACTGGTGATAGCTTTCGCAAAGTCTAAATATTTATCCAAAACGTTACAGCATAAAAAAATTGCTATGGGGGAGGGGGTCGGACCTCCTATTTGCGGCCCTGTAATGTGTGGCAACTAAAATGAAGAAGCTACAGCTTGCAGGAGACTCCCCTGGATGGTTTTCCGCGCACTTTCCGAGAGAAGAAAAGCCCACGGGTACAATGCATGTATTTTTCTCGTGCTCCACAATGGCCCACATCATAGTGTCACACCATGTGGCCCAAGCATATGGTGTTCTGGATTCTTGTACACTCTAACTACTGTCCACGCACAAGCTGGTGGTATGAAATAGACTAACCTAGTTTGTACACTCTCCCAGCACCATAACAACTATAGCTCTATGTGGGTTATGGATATCATGAGTATAGTGGCTGGAAAGGTTAATCACACTGAGACGAGCAGCACAGAACAAAAGCTTGGGGCTGACCTCGACAATGTGACTCGCTGCGAAGCATCGCATGCGGTCGATGTGAAGAGGTGTAAAGCAACTCAAAAGCCGCAGTCAGCGCCTTCCAAAAGGGCCGCATATTGACACAGGCCAGTTCACCATCAAAAGGATTGTCCCTCACACCATATATTGGTTCCCCGCGCATGTCGGCTCGGTGAAGTGCATTGCCCTGAAGCCAAGCAAGTCGGAGCCCACAGCAGCGCGCGCGCTCTCCGACTGTGCTGATCTCGATCTAGGCTATGGCTCCAGCGCTGACGACACGGGACATATAGACACCCCTACCACTCACAATGAGATTACCAAGTGTTACTACATGGTGAGGTTGGATTTCCCGGTGCCATATTCAAAACTCAATGGAGCGCAGGCCTCCCTCGTTCCACTTACCTCAAACCCATTCGTACCTGCCGTTAGCATACCTAAATTAATCTCCACAAATTCCCTGACATCGCCTGCGGACAGACCGCTACATTAGCACACATGCTTTGGAAGCGCGGGTCGCTAGGCCCGACTTGTAGCAAGGCCAAGTGTGAGTCTAGTATTGCTAATAGGATCAACAATGGCGAGCAATCTAACAGCACGGTTGCCCATGCGTGGCAGCCCTCTGAGGCAATGAAGAGTTGCACAAAGTTTACACTGGTTCCTGTTGCAGTGGCTCAGGCATGTTGGCGTTCAATTATTAGCCACTGTGCCCACAGCTCAACAGCTGTGATGATGGATAGGGATCCGGAAAAGAAACAACACAGCTGTACTTGCGCAACACTGGGGTCATTTGTAAAACCCACGAGCGAGTCAGCATTAGCATGCACACAGCTGTCTATCAATATATTTTCATGATGATATATTTCACCAAAAGCATAAAAAACATGAGCCTTTCTTTTGATTCATCAAGAAAAAAACTACCAGCCCTCTCAAGCTTTACTCTTTTCAGGTAGAGAAGAAAACCACATAACTGTACCAAGGAAACCACCCTGCAGACAATATGCATTTATGTTCACAGTACATCTCAACCTGCATGAGTCTGACTGGAAAATTAACTTCTCAACAAAAATAAAGGACATTGGAACCTAGCAATATTGTACAATAAAGCTTGCTGATCTTTCTTTCCGGTAGAAGCTTCTTGAAAAAGACAACGCACATGTCATGGCCAGTGCTGTACTTTCTTTATATCGGTGTACAAGCTTGTTGAGAGGAGTGAAGGGGAAGTTGAGCATGAACTTAAAAAGCTTTTCCACAGTGACCTGTGACCAAAGTGGGTTCCTAACGAATTGCTGGAACCTTAAGCAAAATAGCTCAGGAAGTGCGATTTTTTGGGCAGGTTCATGTCGACAGTGCCTTGTCAGTCTGCATTTTTTCTGTGCTGTAACATTTTTGACAAAACAGCCTGCTCTCAAAGGGGTACACTTTGGCACAGACTAGGAAAGAAAGGCACCCAAGAAAGAAGTTTTTCTCGTGTCTCGTTAAAGCTAAACCTAAATTGGTGCCCAACCTGCCTTCTATTCATTTATTTATTTATTTATTGGTACTGCAATCTGTTACCAGATCTTAGCAGGGTGGGTAAACATAAAAAATGTACAAGCATTTTTGTACATACAAGTTCACAGCAACTAGAAGCATTATTCAAACATTTGTAAGGAACTGCACAAACACTGCTATTGAACGAATAAATATACACCAACGCTACCTTGCAACATTTTGGGCGCCCTCTAGAACTAACCCGCACACCACCATTCACTGTTATTATGGGCGATGCCGTAGCGGAGGGTTCCGGAAGTATTGACCCTCTGGTGCTCAATTTTAATAAACGGGCCTTTAGCATTTCCCCTTCATTGAAATGCAGCTTCCATTGCGAGAATTCAAGCCCATGACCTTGAGGTCAGCCTTTGAGCACCGCAACCGCTGCGGCTGATAACTACTGTCGGTCAGCTGCCGGCCCAGAGTAGGCCGCTCTCAACTGGCCGTCTGCGATGCAGATACCCATTTTCTAGACACGTATTGTATCGGTGATTTTACCAATACTTGAGGGAAATTAAAGGCAATCAACAATTTGTGTCAGAATGAAAGATCAATGTATGGTAATGTCTAAAACATCAATATTATAATGAAGGAAGATGATGTGATGGGAGAACGTTCCTGGAGCACTTGTATGGCTGCATGTACCACCCTGCACTTCTGATTTATTTCCCAAGTTACTCTCCAATGATCATGGTCCCTACCGCATGATCGAGTGTACATTACCCGTGAACTGCACCATTGAGCCTCTCACGCCACCGAGCGACCGTCGTCGGCGTGGACGTGACGTCGTTCACGTAGACCATCTCGATCCCTACTTCAACCCGCTTGTTCCCAACGATTGCCAGGATGGCTTCATCTTTTTAGCCGGGGGTAATTATAATGAAGAAAGACATTGATACCATCTGCTCAACTATCATTACCACTAGTAAAAGGGACGAGATAGACGATCGAGTAACATCATCTTGGTCTGCCTACGCTCTTTCCGAGCTACCATCCGCTAGCTCGGCTCGCTCGATTAGCCCCCTTTACATTATTATCAACAGCAGTGTTCTACTAATAGCGAAATTAGGATAAATATATGCACCACAAGTGAAACATTTTGAAATGATTCCAATGACGTCAAAGGCTCGACTACAATCACAGGTAATCAACATGGCTACAGTATATAAAGACCCTTCTAAGCATTACAAGTAATGAAATTCTGCTTGTTTGTTTGCCTGATTCATAGAAAAAATAACCACCTGGCATTACCATAGAGTTAATACGACAGACTGTTATATTAACTCAATAGTTTGAAAGTTCCAGTTTCGCCTGGTCAGGTGGTGTCATCTAGCTGTGTTCAGTTGAGCCAAGCAGGCACAAAATTTTTTAATGGCTGTTGTTGCTGCTGTGGCTCCCGGTACTTTCCCTCTTCTGCTAATTGTGTTGGCATCTGTGCAGTAAAGGCGGGCAACACTGGCCACGACAACTGTGACGTAAAAGTCCGCTTCCAGGCTAACGATTTCAAGGGCGATACCACGATGTGGACCACTAAGTGCGATTTCACTTTAAAATGAGCATTTCCTTGACATGAAACTAGCACTATGAGCTTTCTGAACCACTATTTAAGCAATCTCGACTTATATATTCCTTTAGAGGCCCTTTAATCATGTAATTGTTCAACATGCCATATCACTTCACAAAGGTGTTCTATAAGTTTCAGAGTGGTAAACGTGCACTGGAGAAGGTGGCACAATAAAAGAACACACACTCACGCACACAGCATGTACATTCCTTCATGCGTTGTCATATTTAGTGCACTTTCACCATGCAGTGCAGATTACTTTTACCATGCATAGGAAATGGATTGCCAATGTGCCCAGATTACCACCTTGATGATGATTCACCTAACAGCCCGAGAAACTCAAATTGCCAGTGCTGTATAGCTCTGGGTCTACGCTTAACTCCAAATATTTTGAGTGCCACCACGCAATACTGCACATTCAGTGATACTGTTAGCTCTCATTTGAAAGTGCGCAAAGTATGCTTTATAATGAAATATTACTACCATCTTCACAGTGGGCATATGAAGCAAGCTGCATCCATCGCTCATATAATTGATTGATATGTGGGGTTTAATGTTCTAAAACCACTATACGATTATGAGAGACGCCGTAGTGGAGGGCTGTGGAAATTTCGACCACCTGGGGTTCTTTAAAAGTGCAGCCAAATCTGAGCACACGGACCTACAGCATTTTCGCCTCCATCGAACTTTGCTTATATAAGGAAAAGCATCTATCTTGCTTACAGACTCCTAATCAATTTGCTCAAGGAATAGTTGCAAATCCAGTGGCTCGTTTCCTTCAGGTACTTACACAGAACTAGCCGAGGCTGAAGGTAACCAATGACGTCGAGTTTGATCCCAATATTGGTGCATACACATCATGATTTTGAATCGTGTTCTGATTCTGCGACTTCAATGTGCTGACTTCGAATGGCTTTAAATAGCAGTCAACTGAAAACTGCTTACTCCAAGGCTATATAAAGTGCTTCACCTGAGAAACTTGTGCTACAGCACCCTAATATGGTTACCGCCATGTGAATTCTCATTACAGCTTGCACGCAACATCAGATGCCAGCTCACATACACAATAAAGATAGCAATCTCTATGCTTTTTGTCAACAAGAGGTGGAAGACATTCTTTGAAAGCATAGGCGGAGAGTTTTCGTACTCCCAGAGGAGGAGGGGCACCAGACTTGCATTTCCAGATTACTCTCTTTCTCTGCATATATATATTGTGAGAGAGAGAG